GATGCGAAGACGTCATTTATGGCACTGACATCGACAATCATATGGCGTTATCATTGTGGCTCCTACAAAGGGGTGGAGCTGCGCTCATCGTAAAACTAGGAAAAGTCTGTGCTGTCACGTCGCGTATGTCATTTTGTATAATTATAACCACTCTGTCGACTGTAAACAAAATATGTAGCTTTTACATTGAAAAATATGTTCTTATTGGCCATCTAAAAGTTTTATCATTGTCTCTGGTTGTATCATTCTCTAACGTGTTGGGAATCGAACAGTGCGTACTGATTTTGTAACTATTACAAAAACATCCACAGTCTCTCTGAGTGTCATTCTGTGATAAACGTTTACAATCCTTTTTTCGATATAAGAGGGTCTAGCGATTCCGTCAATGACGAATGTTGATCAACGACAACATCACCTTGAAACATAACCTTGTAACTTTGTTTAGAAAAAAGGGGTTTCTAAAATAATCACTTTACGTTGATTCCATAATGCCTTCCGTGCCTTAATAAATTTCCGTGTATTGCACTGATACAAATATAGATAATGCATAACATTATAATTTTAGTACAAGCATTAATTTTTTAAAGGTCTTTCATCCTGTACACAACATATCATCATTTGGAGCGACGAAACAGTTCAGCTCTTGAAGTTGAAACGCATTATAACTAACAACAGCCATAAGCAGGCCGGAGTACTAATTTCGAAAAACATTTTGAATGTGAGAACCTCTAATTGCTTCCTCTTTATTTTAATATCCATATGACACCTGGGGACGTCTCACTACGAAAGTTGTTAATCGTGACTAATTATTTAGATAAACAAACAGGGATCCAAAGACTCAGACAAGACTAAAAAACAAAAGGAATCCGATCGTCTAACTTAAAGTACATTTTACCAAAAATATTTAATAAAGATTATTTCTGTTAATATAGATCCCGTCACTTGGACAATTATCTCTGAGTAAAATGTAGAATGGCCTTTTGACAGAGCACGGTAAAAATTGATACCTTAAGCGGGGGCGGTGTCATAAATCTTTGTGCCCTTTAATGCAAGCATTGAGGTCCAGGCAAACCGAGAAGCTACTTCAGAGGCGGTAGATTTTTTCATAGCTTCATTACATCAGCATGCAGTTATTAAAGGTTAGTCTGAGTTCTTTAAAATTTGTTCCAGCTTTGAAGTACTAGGCAGGGTCAGTCGTGTCGAAAAAATGTCAGGTTCGGTACGCAAAAATGGCTGATTGAAACAAAATTTTGCCCATTTCATCGACAAATAAATATTCATCGATATAATATTGGATTTAGCTACGATAGAACAAGAATATTACTCAGAAATACTCAGATATTTCCTAAATAAGTTTTCGATCTCGAAGACTTGTCCTACGAATCCCAGCTCCCACGATGTTGCCGTCGTATTTGAAAGCCTTACGAATGTTTATTATCATCGAGAAGGTATATCAAATCGCATAACTCCTATTCCAAAACATGGCTGGAAGAAGGCATTTCCTCTCGGTCTTTAAAGCCGTCTTCTGATCTGATGGAAGAAAAAAGATCCACTTTGAGTTAATTTCCGTTTAATATATATATCAACACTGTGTTGATGTCAACACTCGGCTCTCCCTCTTGACCTATTTATCTCATTAGGAAACTTCGGCCAGATTACTGCCACCACACGATCGCTTGCGGTTCATGAAGGTATCCCTCTATTAGGTAAAGATTTGGTACCAGGTTCGTGATACACAGGAGAGTAAATATCAGTTGTTTCCATCGTATTATATTGCCACTATGATTTTTCCTTTTTGTTTTGAAAAATATGCGCGAATCTTCTATAACAGCGCGTTATATTAATCGGAAATACTTGAAATGCTACTGGCAAGCATAAAAAGAGTGCGTTGGTTGTGTTGGAACTGGATTTAGATCTCCTCTTCGAAGTCTCTTTCTATCGCAAGCTCTCCCCAAGGTCTATTTCGAACCCCAAGCGTAAGCATGAGGGTAACGATTCAGGGGCTCAAGGCCATCTACGTATAGTATAACGACTCGATTTCTTATCACCCTGTAGTTAGTCTTACACACACGAACACGATATGTAAACACAACAAGCAAAGGAATGCATATAAACGAATTTAGGACCACAGATATGCTGGAGTAGAGTAGGTTCCGTTGATAAGGAGTCACTGAAACACTGGCTACTCGTGTGATAGTGTAGTCCCCTCATGTGCCGATGCTAAGTCACGCTCATCATAACTAAAACTCACTCTAGCTTTATGATATCTGAGGTGCTGCTCGACATTGTATGCCAAGTTGGACAAGCATATGTATAAATCTACGTGTGTCTCTGTATGTGCCGCTGAAAGGGGTGAATACATTAGAAATGAGTGGGGTAATGTAGTGAGGAAATATGATAAAAGTCCGCTAGAAATGCTCGACATAATAAACGGGCTGCCGGCCTAGCGGTTTTCGGGTTTGCTGCGCCTATATCGACGCTCGGGCCAGCTGAAAGGACCATATGAATCGACAAGTATAAAGACATCTACTAGAGATATGCATTATATTTGGTATAAAATAGCAATGACCGCATATACATATATATATATATATATATATATATATATATATATATATATGTGGTATATGACAACGTATATATATATATACGTTGTCAAGCGTACTGCGAGGTGATACTATCGCCTAGGCGTGAGTGGGTCCATGTGTTAATTGATATAAAATATTATTGGTACAACTGGTGAATTAATTAACATGTACATTATTAAAAAACAAAAACTTGGTGTTTCACCATAGGTGATATTACCCAAATCTCCAAAATGTTCATATATATTCTATAGATTGCTTTAATAAAACAGATTTTGAGCGATTGTAAACGCATGTGCGAAAATACATCGTTATTTTTCGGTGTCCCCCTTACATTCAAATCGTTGAAAACACTCGAACGTTGCAAATTTTAAAAGCAATTTGCTATGGAGCAAGTTAACAGGAACGACTCTAGAAGAATAGTTTGATCTATAATACACGGTTCCAGGGCGACATCAGCAAACCCTGCGGCCGACATCTGTTGCCTTAACCTGTCTGTCTCTGTAAGCTTCATCATGGTGAAGTACATAACCAGAGACAGGAATTGACTCAGCTACAGATCAGCATGTAGTGTACATCTTCGAGCTTCTTTTTCTCGCAGTGTGACAGAATATATCTTCGTGTTTTTATTTGCTCCCTTCGGTCGTTTTCAGTTTTCAGAAGCTCTTAAGTTCGGTGACATTGTCAATAAGAACGCCTCAGCACCTTGAAAGCATACCCATAGAAACGTCGCATGCTCTTCAGTAGTAGAACTACCGTCGTTAATGTGACCTTAATGTCATGTTTTTTTCGGCGCTACATTCGCAACGCGCAATGGCATCGCTCCGATTACAGATGGAGGCCCCCTCTGCCTAAGGAGAACTGTTCTTGATAGAGCAACGCTCACCAAAGTAGACCGCAAGCCACCATCTACAGCAACAGATCACTGCACAGCGATTCGCTTGCGTGTCTAGTTAGTATTGTCATATCTAAGGACCCCCGCCCCCCGGGGGGTCGTTTTTCTCTCACCCTCTCTCTCACTCTCTTACTCTCTCGAGGACGATGTCAGCGAAGTGTGGAGAAACAGCTAGACTCGTGCTTCCGAAGTTCCATTCTGTGTGGAGAATCTTGTCCTTCTGCTGTAGCAAATAGGGACGGCGGAACGACATCGGCAGCGATAAACAACAACAGCAACCAGAAATTCTGTACTGAGATTTCTTTTTGTGTGGTGACCAAATAAAAACTCGAAGTCGATCGATCTCCACTTTATCTGTAATAGAAGTCTTCTCATCGGAACAATATTTGCGGGAACAGCAGCAGCCGCGGTGAAGGTACTGAGAGGGTATCACTACATTGGTTGCATCGATGTTCCGCACTAATTCGACACGCGGAGTCCTCGGGCCATTTCAGGAACAATCTATGGCTACGATTTTTTTTCCTGTCAGTGTTGCAGGTTCCAGTTGAACGGGCGACTTGTTATTGCCTCAGATGCATAAAATGTACTGGACTAGTTCTGCGACAAGCAAGTCTAACTAATTCTTCCACCTAATTATATGACGTTGTAACGTGTAAGTGTTGACAGATAAAAATGTGCCTAACGAAGTATATATAAATCATTTATATATGACATAATTCATAATTGTCGAATTTTAAGGAATTATCATAATTTTTTTTAGGTCTCATTTTGTCGAAGTATTCTAATTGTAAAAAAGCGTCCATCCTGAGCGACATTATGAGAAAATCGGTAACAAATGTATTTACTTGTACCGCTAGAATAGTACAGGTATTTGGTAGTTGGCATTTAACCTAGCAAACCTAGAGGTACAGAAAAAAAAGGAGAAAAATATCTGTCACCGCGAATACCGACAAATAGCTTAAAAAACAACGCATGTTTCTAAATGGGTTCCTAAATCTTTTCTATGCTAAATTAAAAAACTGTCTGAAAGTAACTAAATTTACTAGAACTTTTCATCTCTTCATATCGTATTTATATATATCGAAATTAGTATACAGTAAACCTTCGCGGTTGTAAGTAAATTATTTCAATAATCAAAAATACAATTGCATTTGTTATTTGCAATTAATTAAGCACCGTTTCGATAATAAATAGTCTGTTCTTTGATGAAAAATAAGCTTTTGCAGTATTCTGTTTAGGATATTTTATTGCCTTGAATACACTCGTTTTAAAAGATAAGGAACACAGTGTTATCATTTGAACAAAAAATCCCACTCTTTTATTTCAAAACCACCTCGAAATCGAAATAGAGTGATATCGGGTCGCAGGCAGTAAAAACGGTTAAACTGAAGCTGCTCATACTACCTTGCCCGCCCTTTTTTTTGTTTTCCCGCCGTTAGCAGACGACTATCGTCATAAACAAAGGCAGCGAAAGGCCATTTGTCAACAAGCAACTTCGTGTGTTAACGCCATGCGGTAGATCGAACAGCGCGCAAAAGTATAATAGTAGTAAACGTAGCCCCACTTTGAGGGGGTCTCTCTGAACATTTTATGCTGTCGCAGTACAATGGCATTATTTAATCCTTTTCGTGAAAATGTGTCGGTTCCACAAATGCCTGTACCAACGGTTCCGACAAGCGTGAGCCCCAAGGGTGCATCCCCAAATTTTCCCGAAGGTGGTTTTCGCGGTCGAGGCGCCGGGCGATTTTCACAAGGGAGACCCCGAAGAGGAAAAGGGTTACCATGGGGATTTCGTGGTTGCGCCGGAAAACGTGGAAGGAGTGAACGATTTACGGAAACTTACAGAAATAGTTCAGAAACTACTTTGGAAAGTGATGAAGTGTCACTGGAATTTCAATGTGAAGCGTGTGAACGTGTATTTTTCAGTCAAGAAGATCTGAAGGAGCATTTCAATCTTCACGTCAGCTGTCCCTACTGCAAGTACGCCGCTCTGCAACAACTAGTACGTTACATGTGGAGTCAGTAGATAAGCAAAATGCTATTTCACAGAAGTTACTGTAGTTCTTCTCCTTATATATATATATATATATATATAAGGGGAAGAATATAGTATAGAAGGAGAAGGTATATATATATATGTCTTTTTTGTTTATAATATTTTGTAATAATTTTGTAGTGAGCTGCCACACTTCACATCATTTAAAATATTACAGTTTATCCAAGTAGTATAGTACAGTAGTAGCCAAGTTATAAAATTCTCGTATTTTTGCAAGAGTTACGCATTTAATATATTATGTGCGCATTTATTTGTTGCGTAAATACTTCTACTAGGTCTTTTGGAATGATATGATAGTTGTTGCTTCTATTTCACACTTAAGATGGTCTTCTGTAATCTGAGTTCTAAGGTTACAGCCAATACACAATGGAGTGCGTGTTATCTTAGCGCCAAATCTATTTGTTAAACTCCACGCCCTATCGTATATTATCATTAATGTTGGCAGTAAAAACAAGCTCAGATTCATTTTTACATACTTACACAATTATATTTGTGCATTGAAGTTTGCCAATGATATTTCCTTATAAGAGATACTAAAATACAAGATCTTATTATATTATCAACGCACATCTTATGAATCTGAGTTGTTCAACGGATTTTTTTCCATTACTTCTATCTTAATATTCATAGGTTGATCTTCATGTTAAGCTGATTCACGATAAGCACCTTGCATCCAAGGTCATGGAGCAAAGTCCTGAAGAAATAGCGGAATATCTCGCGGAGAGACGCCGAAAGTTCCCGAGAAGAAAGGTTGAATCAGAGAGGCCGCAAGATGAAACCTCAATTTCGACAGACTGTACTGCTGCACAAGAAAAAAAAGGAGTTATTCATCAAGATAATGTTCGGGGAAATAAACGAGGAAAATTTGGCCACACTATTATAAAGTAAATATGAGACAATATTTCTTCTGGTCTAAGTTGCAACTCAAAACCTAGTTGTTGTATCGTACCAATCAATAAAAATGCGACTAACGTTTTCTTACTTGATTCCTTAAATTAGGGACTGCAAAGACAGAAACGATGAGACGAATGGTTTTTCACAAGGCCGACGATCACGAAATCGGAAACGAAATCGTGGCCGACAAATGCGCAAAAAAAAATTCCAACAGCCAGTTGTTCCACTAGAAGACAAAGAACCTCAGATTGTCGGAGGCGTTCAGCGGTTCAAGGGTCTAGGGTTGACCAGCATGGCCGCCCCGAAAAATACTGACGATGAGCCAACAGCTGCCGGGCAAGGTAACATTTCCGACGTCGATGACTATTTACCAACTACTCCAACGCAGCGTCCATTTGCCGCGTCTAGGGCTTTAGCGTCACTAATGGTGTGCTATGCTGACTCAGATGACGAAGACGTGTCGAAGGCTCCCGTCATCAAAGTGGCCCGATTTGAAGATCAAAGTGTACCACAGAATCGAAATAATCAAGTGAAAACGCATCTGCGCAGTAACAATTCCAATCCTAACCCTTGTTTGCAACAACTGGAGTCATTGAAAGTATCGGATCTACAATTAAAAGAAGAATCTGTTACTAAAGGTTCGATGCCGATTATGGCCCCATCTGTCCCGAGGAAACCAACCCAGAATGACAGCCCAGTGGATCCCGAAGTCCGAGCTGTGCTCGGTTCACTTGTGGATAAATTGGCATCCGCTGGTTCAAAAAAACGCGTCCCGCCAGTTGTGCAAATAAGTAACAGGAAGCTGTCACTATTGGAAAAACTTCTTGCCAAAGATATACGTCATGAAAGAAACATTCTTCTTCAATGCGTTGATTTTGTTGTTCAAAAAAAATTTTTCGATGGCATGAATTATGATGTATAAGAGTATGTTTAATAAAGGCGCAAGCATATATCCACTGTATTAATCTACTGTACCTTGCACACCGTTTGGTGCAGCTTTTGTAAATACACTGATAAACAAATAAATTCTGTCATTTATTGTATGACGGGTCTATTTTTTCAGAATTATCAAGTTAGGCGTTATATATATATATATATATATATATATATATATATATATGACATGTTCTAGAAACAGTTGTTGTGTATTCAAATTTGCACATAAGTGAGATCAAAATAAGCTTCTCTTCCTAAACGTATCATCCGTGAGCTGTTCCTTTACTTGCAACCACCGCCGTTAATATTAGTAATATTAGTCTTATTCCGGTATTGTGGTTTCAATTGGTTTTATTATAAAGTTTTTTTTTATTTATAATTTCTTATTTATTGGTAATATACGACACGTCCTGCAAAATACTTCCTGCTGTCGCATGAACCATTTGTTCAATAATTAATTCGGTCTCGCTTAGAATGCCACAAAAAGAATCATACTTATGTTCTCATTGAGCTAAGCTCACGTGTCCTAATATATTCACTGTTACAAAATAGAGGGCAGTCATAAAAATCTTGAACTGTTTTGGAGTACAAGTTGACTTTTTCACCTAGTTGTACCATTTCAAAGCTCTAGCTGCCGTTCGCATTGGAGCGCTGCTGCTGCCATATTGCAAGATAGAGTGGGCAACGCAGGCGTTTGTTCAGTTGGAAACTAGGATCAGGCCGGTCTACGATGCATCGGTGTGGGTTGTTCCTGCACCCTTAAGTGAATTAACACATCATCCCCGCGGCGTTAGCGTACTGCATCAGATCTCGGACTTTCTGTGTGGCGGCAGCTTCGAGGCTTAATTTTCGCGAAGCTTCCTTTTTTTACCGGTGTAATGGCGTCTTTAAGCGATCAGTGGTGTCTGCTCGCTTGTGGCTACTGCTACTGCTGTTAGTCGTCGAAAAGCGGAAACAGCGCAGAGCTAAACATCCGTTGCGAATGTCGTCGCCTCTCTGGATTGAGCTATAAGCGTCATCCAAGTGGCGACCAGCCGCGTGCTTGCTGCAAGCGGGTGTTCGCTTGGCACACCGCGCTCTGAGCTGGGTAACTTGCCGGGGTGGAAGAAACAGCTCGAGCGGGCTATGAACGAGGGGTTAGTTAACGGGCTATGTAGAGGACGGAAGCGACGATGATCCAAAGGAATCGGCCTCCGCTCAGGATGAGAACTGCGACGGGTCCGCCGCTTGGTACGCACTGAAACTCAGTGAAACAGTGACTTCCGGTTGGTCGCGTGGCCACCGACCGCGTCGCCGAGTTGCGTTCAACTGGAGCTGCGATGCTTCTACTGAATAGGGCTCCTTCTCCGTCGAAAAGCAAAGAAAATGGGAGGAAACAACCAGGACACAGTCACCGGCGCGGCCTTTTGCTCACAGCTCTTTCTATACTCCATCTTATCTTTCTCCGTCGCTCTTAGAGGGTAAGATCGTTGCGCTGTGGCAACGATTGAAAACGCTGAAAAAGCAGATCCACCGACCGAGTTCGGGGGGCTGGGGATTGGGCAGCGATAGAGTCCACACCAGCGGCAAGAGCAGACGACTGAAGCGGCAGCAACGTGGCCAGTGGGCCACCAACTTCAGCATGGTAGCGCGCTTCGTTTTTGCTCCGCGGGCATCTATACTTCGCTGCTATGCTGTCGTGGTGAGTGATCAAGGGTGAGGCCTAGGGCCGCGAACACAGAGGGGAAGGGGCGTCAGTGGCACTATGGAGAGCCAAAGGGCCATGGAGCCTGTGCGGCTCAATTGGCTGCGCCATCAAACAGGCATGTTTGAATAGGAGATGGATTGGCAGTGGGGCACTGTGTGTGTCTGCGAAAATGAATGTGGGTCTATAGTAATGCGAACGTCGACTGACGTGGGAAGACCACCGCCGATGCGGGTGATGGATGTCACACTGAGGCTCTCATTGGGGGGTATGCCACAGAAAACGAGAGATACAGGATCGATGAGGACTGTCAAGCAAGTCAACAGTGATTGTGAAAAAGCTTGACCGAGGGTGAAGAAGCATTGCGAGAACAAGGGAAAAGAAGGAAAGCTATTGACACAAGAGTCGCGACGAGTAACACGACGACCAAAGAAAATTTGAGATTAAAAGTTGCTGACTGGTTAAAGCTGCTGAAGACAAAGACAGAAAGAGACCAAGGGTGACCGACCATTTGCTGTCGAAGTATACGCTCAAGTGCATAAATGGACAGAGTGATAGATATGACAGGATCTCTAGACTTTTCAGGACCCTTCCTGAGTCCTGATACCTATGAACATTTATCTGAACGCGTCGTTCCTGCCAGACACTGACACGCTATCCACTTGAATTGAAAAAATAAATCGTTTCCAAATTTAACGGTATGCTTCTCCAAACTTAATTAGACTTTTTTTTAAGTTATTATTATTATGTCTTTCAACTCTGATGTTGCTCATATGGTACTCATTTTCTGCAGAGGAAACTAGACGAAATAGTGAGGTAAATTTTACGCGGGCTTTTTACATTAGTTAGAAAGAACGGTTAACAAAATAATAGTTTATTTGCCACATGATGTAAGCAAGTGGTTACGGTAATTTTCCCCCTCATTTGCCTAATTTCTATCATAAGCAATTGTAGCACAGTTCAGTTACAACATATAACAATAGCACAGGCACCGTCCAGTTCTGGGATGCATGCACTCATTTATTTACGGCGACGCATGTTAGAAATCCGTACTACTCAAAAACGGCAGGAGTTAGTCACTGACAAGCCAATGTATTTCCTCACTGACTCTATATGTGTTGTTCTCATTGGACCCTGAAAGTAGCCCTACTGCCGCTGGCGTGTCTGATGTGTCCATGTATACTACATAAAGCTATTTGCCGTTAATAGTATTTACCTATTGGTGATCCTCGGGGGCATGGCCTTTTGCTTGCCAGAACTCACCCGTCCGTCCTCTCGTTGATCGAAATGAGCAGCGAATTCTATGAAGGAATCATGCACAAGCAAGAGAAACGGAATCATCAGCCTGCGTCTGCATGAATGACTGCGAATAGAGATAATTTCTTCCTCCTTTATGCCAGCCCCAGCACGAACTCGATGGTAGCATATGACCTCGTTTTTCATCCTGTCTCAGTTCCACTTATTCTCCACCGTGCAGGGGCAGCCGTAGACGACATGGCTGTGTAAACGAACAATGTACCTACCTCATTGCTAACCGGTGCTGCTATATCATTTTTCTGCTATTACTAAATTCAGCCTAGTACGACTCGCTATAACAACCCCTAGAATTTACTATTCGTTTTAGCCTTTTGCCTCGTTTCTTCACAGCTTCTCACTCGCACACATAGATATTACATACTACAGGCGTATTTTCATCGTCGACGGGTTGCTCTACGAATCGGGTCTCGCGTGGTGCGCGTGTAAACGAATTGTCTTACTTTTTGGGCCGGTAGCACCAAACCGACCTCGCCCGCTTCGTTTCGTTAACCTGTTCACCTGTGCTCTCGGCTCAGCAGCTTCTTCTGCAGCTTCTGAGAGCAGCGGCACTCACAGATGCTGCCGACTGGCATAACATCCAGCAGCAGTCGCCACGGCGGCCAGTGGAGTTATTGGGCTCAATGCAAATCTAATCAAACGTGCCCTCCAGCCACGCGATTTTCATACGTACACAGTTGCCCCTACAAGCACACATGCACGCATACATCCGGTCCTTGTTTAGAGGCAGAGTTTGCCAGGCAGACATTCATATCGTAGATGGATATAGATAAGTGACCGACTGGGTTAGGCGCTGGATCAGACACGCAGGCAGTGATCGTAGAACAATATGGTCGCCGCTATTGGGAGATTCGTTGATGTACGGGCTTCATTGGGCGGTCATTACAGGGTAGTACTAGGAAGTACTATGGACCCAACTAAGAGAACTGTCGGATAGGCTTACAGCTGAGACCCGATCATGAGTCAATTTTTGCACAGCAGAGAATGCGCAGCACTAGTTGCAGGGTTTGTTTTCATTGTATGTACGTAGTCGTTACCGCTGTTGACGATAACGATGAATATCTGACTGAATTTTTAGCTGTTCCTACTTACATTTTTATCCATCCCTGATTGTTATTGACCGGCTGGAAGATTTAAAAAAAATAGACAGTCTTTAAATATTATTGGGCGTCTGCGAAAACTCATCAAACATGTGTCCTTCAAATAATATGATATTATAGTTAATCTGAAATTCAAATATTTCGATCAGTGACCTTTGGGATAAATCGATTGTTGAGGATGCGCGTCAAATCTACGTTTCACATACAAAGAAGGAAGGCATGCCCTCACATTTCGAGGTGATTCGAATAGCGCTTCTGCTTGTGAGAACGTTGATGGAAATATAGAAGAACCAGCAATTAGGTCTATAAGCATAATTTAGAAAGCGTCCGCTCGCGCCTTTTAAGAAATAACATTTTTGCGTAACATACTTGCAGCGATTAAACTTGCTGTTAGTTGTACTCGAAATCTGAATTCTAATGGATGAATAGACAATGATTCACAGGATACTGTTGTATCTTGTTCCTTCTGAAGGGTCGTAGAGATGCAAAAGTGCTGCGACAATTACGTCGCTGAGCGGAGTAAACATTGTAGATACACTTAGAGCAAATAGAGCACAATCTGTTTGTCGGCCTCAGTCCCTCAAAACGTATTCCATCCCTGGCAGTAGAATTTAAATACCACAGTTTACCATTAGATCGTTTGAGCCTTTGTTTTCGTACGCTTGGCGAATTATCGTAGCAAAACATCTTATTAACCCGAGACTTTATGCGGACGCTTGACGAAGGATTAAAAGTGTCATCGAGTGTCACCGGTAGCAAATTAAATCACATCGAATCTATAGTCAGTAGCTAATGTTTCGGGGGGGGGGGGGGGTAATGTTCGAACAATCGTGACCTGTACGTATTAAAGAATATAACATACATTACTTCGATGTCTATGAAGTCAATTTCCATTATATCCTATTTTAGACTAAGCAAATACTTAGCGCCTCAAATTTCGAAATCCGGCTGACAGGTCCAACTGAAGTGCCACAAATGT